TTATGTTGCCCTCCTGTATATAGGCGTGCATGGCACCTCGTGTTAGCTTAAAAATGCGTGTTTCGTTAGACGCAGTTAGAGAGTTGATAAATTAGATGATAATTTCGTATTCAATTTAGTATATTACGATGCAGGGGCTTAGTGGTTACTCAATATGAATCAGTGGTCGCTGAATAATCATTAGTTCAGAAGAACGATTCCTGTGTGAGCGATTTCTGAACAAATTGAATGTCTGAGAGCAGGATCTTGGTGGATTCTAGAACGCTATATTCGACAGATCCAGAGTCTGCTTAGGGATGTGTACGCCTAGTCATGATGCCTATATGCGCGTATTTGGAGAGATAGCACGATGGCGTACACTGAGTACTCCCGTATTATATCATCATCGTTATGACCAGAATTCAGTTCAGCCTTGCATTATGGGTTTCTCCTCCTGTTAGATGTAATACTAGTACTTTGAATTTTACGCGTGTTCTGTATTCGTGGCATTACCCTGTACGCATTATACTCGTCATGATCGCGAAATATTGTTCATATTATGGCGATATGTCTACGCAAATAAAATTGTTATAATAATGTAAGATCAGTATAATAGTAAATGGGATATCAGAATAGCTACAATGACGGCATCGTCGTTTGTGGGCCGATCCCACCAACGCGCGCCAGTTAGAATTTTGTATTTCGTCATCGCATAATACTGTAGATCTAGACGTGTGGTTTAAAGTGTACTGTGATATCATCATCAATAAGAATCGTAATGCATTGGTCCTGTCGTTTTTGCATGTCGTCTATTGCGTCTATTGAAGTCCTAGTTAAGAAATATATGAGAGTTACGTATCCCTGGTTTACTCTAGAATAACTGCTCGATGACATATCATAATATTCTGTTAGTGATAGATATTTTTGTTATCTCGTACAATTCGTTAGTGAGACAATTTTTTTTAATAGATATCGACTATTATAATAAATACTATTTGTGTTTAGATGATATTTACAAGGTGAACTTGGTCTATTAAATAGTGTGACCGTAACAGTAGTATAATGGCGTGTATGCTAAGTATAACATGTGTAGCATAGTATAGGCACGTGATTGTATAGGCACAGGTTCGTGAACAGTTAGATATACGTGGGCAAGGCGCACTTATGCCAAATGGAACGTTGAAGCACAGAATGCAATAACAAGAGATAACTACAAAGCATAATGACAATCATATACATAGACATAGCTAGCAGACATAAGCAAACACCAGTTACAAGCAATGCATATCTTACGACAGTGTAGAGTCCGGTAGCAGCGGTAGCAGCAGCTGAAATCGGCTATAGTGACTCTGACCCGGATAGCTCGAGAGACACCTGCATGGTGACGTCTGTGTTTTCTCTGGCGAAATCGGGGGTTTATATTCATAACTGCGAAGTCAGTGACCATAACGTGGTAAAGGTAGTCCACTGATTTGCCAAGTGAAGTATCGATAACTACTTGAGTTGACCTGGGGACCGTGTCGATATGGGGGCACACACTGCGTTAGTAATTGCTTGCATTTCTAATATATAATGTATATATATATATATATATATAAAATTGCATTTATAATGTTATCCTCAACACCACAGTAGCAGTGCATGCTAAAATTTGTTGCTTATGTGTATATGCAATGAATGCAATAATATGCGTATGCATACATTGCGTGCGCGCGCGCCCGTGTGTGTTTGTGTGTGTGTGTGTGTGTGTGTGTGTGTGTGTGTGTGTGTGTGTGTGTGTGTGTGTGTGTGTGTGTGTGTGTGTGTGTCGTGTGTGTGTGTGTGTGTAGTGTGTGTGTGTGTGTGTGTGTGTGTAGTGTGTGTGTGTGTGTGTGTGTAGTGTACGTAGTAGTAGT